TTCTGCGCCAGAGGAATACAAGAAACTTGCCGAGCGGTGTTGTGATGCTGATCCTGATAAGCGTCCTGATGCATGGAGACTTTTTATGGATATTTACAGGCTTATTGGAAATGCGGAAATGGATAAATCTGGTGACAACGTGTGGAATGCTATCTATCATACGGATGTAAAGCCATTATCACGTCTCGAGAAAGAGAGCAAATATTCCAGCACACGCTTACCTACTGGAGCTTTACCTAAACCGCGAAATAGCTATGATTCAGCTGCAGGTATGAAGTCAATAATTGGTGATAAATGAAGTCAATTTGCATATTACAATGTTAACACTTGCATTTCTTATAATTTAGCAACTCAAACTCTTTTTGAATAAACTCGTAATTTGGTTATTACAATTTATATGAATTTTATTCAAAAGTTCGAATTATACGATGGTGCTTCTACACATGTCAATATGGATGAGTTAATAAGACGCTGAAATAAAGTCATGCATGTTTACCGTTAGCTGCCTTTTCCGGGCAGAGTACTCCCTCTAACATAGGGAAGGTACCATAACGGTAAGTGTTGGTGAATAACAGACGTTATGTTATTATATTAATATTGTTTACTACAACTTTATTCTATTACGTGTATAATTATCAAATCAATAATAAATATTTCTATGAGCAATTACTTCCCCCTTTAAATTACAAGCCCGTCGAAGGTAAACTAATGAGAACACCTTTAATGAATGATACACAACGCGTTCTTACATATTATCATTATTGTTTTTGTTCGGCCGTAATAATATTTCCCTTCCTTTTCTATTATCGTTTAGCCTGGGCAAGTCCGATAGTTGACCCATCCATGTCGAAGTAGGCATAGTTGTTCTTTAAGAAAGTATCGCCCACAAGAAATGACTAATGCAATAAACAAACAATAATAATTGGGTTAAATGACCGACGACAAACCCGATTAAAGCGATTAATTTCTCCAATCCTGCCTTATTGAACTTACCACACCATCGCCAGGGTCACCTGGGGTAATAGCGCTGTTACATACTCCTCTTGTTAGTGAAACAACCAAATCGCGGCCTGGGACGGTGAAAGATGCGGTTCCAAAAGTAAACGTCATATCCGGCGGCTTTGCGTCGCATGGTATGATATACGCTTGTGCCTGGGACGAGAAATGACCACCTAATCCTAATGCTGTGTTAATCTGATCCGCTATAGTGGGCGATGTAAAAATAAGTGATGTTCCAGTATCTAACATAGCAACGCCGTTCTTTCGTGTAAGTACAATGTCATGACCGCCAAGAGATACTTTGCTTAATTGGACTGTCCAAGACCCAGTACTGTCAAAGCTTCCGACAAGAGGAATTGAAGTTAGATTGCCGACTATGTGAGCAGGATTGAACCCGCCGAAAGTGATTTCTCCTGAGCCGCCGTCAGTTGATTTGCCTAGCCATATGCCGAATGAGCGGCGAGTTATATAACCATGATTTTTCATGTTTTGAATTGGCGTTACTGCCGCTGAAAAAAGGTGTATTTATTGAAAGAATATTAATATTAATATAGAGTTGTCTCCGGCTGTGTCACATATAGCCGATAACTTACTTGGAACAGCAGCCATTTGAGGTCCTGCTAACCCTATGAGTCCATCGAAAGGCTGGGGTTTGAAGCTTTGGTCCATTCTCGTTGCCCTCGCAAACTGTTGACCTTTTAATACAAAGCCACCAACTGTTACTGTATCGGTTGCTGTCACTCCTGATGCAGCTGACCCATCGACATAAGAAATGCCCCAAGGACCACCGTCACCCCCATACGAGACGGAGTGTTTGGAAGAAAATTTGTGCTTCTTAGAGCATCCTACTCCGACACACGAAGCGTCGGGTACCCATAAATCAGTTGAGCCAGTATCTATTTGACAGGTAAATACTTGAGGTGGTGTTCCTATTGCAACAGTTGTTGTATACTAACGAACAATAAAGCGGAAATTACGAGTGACGTTAATATTAAACAAATGGGATTGCATAACTTTGATAATTCTCACTTACAGCAATGTCGTGGCCGACATCTATTAAACGTGATTTATTCCGCTTGAGCCTTCGACTACTACTGGTAGACTTGATTCGGCGTATTCTTTTAAATTCTAAGCTTGAAAAGGAAATTATTTATTAGATCAACCTTATAAAGATTTCTATAAATTACTACTCGCTTACCTCGGTAGGTTTGTGTCAACGTCAGCCTGCACATCAAAAATATTCGCGCTGGCGATTAAAAGTATCAAAAACAAAGTCAGGAATCTCATTTTTCTGTGTTCAAAGCAAAGCAAGCAAGCAAGCAAAGCAAGCAAAGCAAAGATCCAAAAGCTTTTATATCCGTTGTCGTGAGGCCTCGGCAGCTGCGACCGTTGCAATAGCAAATACCCGATACGGTTACTTATGTAATAGGAAAGTCATGCCTCTTTTAAATTCTCACCTTTTAATATCCTAACCTCGGATATATCGCACGTGTGAAGCTGGACGAATTCCTCAATATAAATTGTACGCCTTTATCCCCAATATTTTCCGTCCCAAATTCTAGAGCGCTATAACATTACACAAACCGTATTCCTCTGATTGCTATATATGATACTAATATTACACAAACTATAATATAAATTCTATTATTTCGTTTGTTAAAATTTTATTACTAAAAATATCAAACGTGCTGAAAAGCAATCAGGTCATAAACACGCCACTTTCAGCAAATCCGAGACATCTAAGCCAACATCATAGTTTCCTGCTATTAAAAAAAAGTCCTTATTGAATTAATGATAAGAATCAATTTTACTATGAACAGTTCCGCAGACAGCCGTAACAGTAGAAACGAACGCAAAGAAGAAATTTATCACTTGAAAGTAAAATAAACATTATTGAGAGAAAAAAAACTGACCTAAAACTAAGTGATGAAAAAATGGCATACGAATTTGGTGTGATCGTTCGACAGTAAGTAACATTCTTCGAAAAAAGAAAAGCTCTTACGATTGCGATATTCAGATTTGAAGGAAGCGCGTGTTTGTGTAGCGACATGTACTTTTTTAGAAGAGGCACTATACAAGGGTTTGCGCAGTAGGAATGTTCCCGTTCTACGTTCCAAAGACATTAAAAACAAATCTCTTACAAATACGTAAGCAGGGCTTTTCCAGAAAACACATCCACTTTAGCTAATTGCGTCTCCTGACTGTACAGTATGTTATTAATTTCCTCGACAGCAGTGATAAACCAAAACACAAACAGCATAAATTATGATTTTATTATTAGTTCTCATCAGCTTCTTTTTTTTTGGGGGGGGGGGTGGTTACTGACGCTTTTACTAACTAGCGCCGCCCGATATCACTGTATTCCCGAGCCACATTTACCAAATGGAAAACAGCCAAAGGTTTTGTTTAGTTTTTTTACATCATGGCAATCCCATCCCTCATTAAGCGCATTCTACATTGTTGTACGGAAATTGACAAAAGTTTATCGACTTGGGATTTTACATTTCTTTTGCTGGCAATATTACCTATCTGTGGAAATGAAAAGTAAGATAACAAGAAGTGATTGATTAAATTTCTTTGAAAAAAAAAACAGTTATTGAAATCAATGCTCCTTATAGTTGCAGACTTGCACATTTGATTGAGAAACCACTTAACAATACGGACAAACGATGAGCAGGCAACTGTTGATATGATGCTCGCTTTGCGGCTGATGGCATTTGATGCCACTTGTCGGTGTTATTTTTGAGCGTAAAGTTTATCCAAAAAAAGACAATTTATTCAAGGACACTATTCAGATATGGTGGATTAATCGATTCAGAAAATGATTCGTCAACTATTTGCAAGTCTCATTAGCGTCCAATCTATCCATCGCCATTCACTATCAACGCCAGTTTACAGTATTGACATTATCTATCTGTCTGCTCTCCCTGTTTATCATGGTTGTGCTCTCATTGTCCGGGCCAAAGCTACGAAAGGTGCAGTAGGCAGAATCGAAGAGTTGGACTATCATGTTACAAAACCACATCATCGACTATTGATTTATTTATTAGTTCTGATGAGAAGACAGAAATGACGTCCGCGAATATTTACTTAAATTCAAATGATGAGCAGTTTAACAAAGTATTGGTTACTACATTCAGTATTAGTATTCAAAATGTGATCTTTTAAAAAAACTAGTATACAAAAAATGTTTCATCCTAGTAAGCCGTCCACCAAGCGTGAAGCAAAAGCATCGTCCGTTCAAGATCAAAACAGTGATACAATAACAAAGATATAGTAATCGAATTCGTGTATCATCCGTGGTATGCTTATATAAATGTGAAATAACGATTCTCGTATAGAAGAGAATGGCAGAACGCGTGCTACCTGACATATTCGCTAAGTATAAGAAAAGGGTTTGGGATTTAAAGGAAATCACACATCCAAAGCTACGTAAGCCTCCGCAAAGTATTATGAAAAGTGATGTCTTTCAAAATGTGTAATATATTTCCTTATTATTATATGGGCTGAAGCAGTGTACAGAACTATCATCATCATATTACAGAAATTCAGGGAGGAATATACATCTTCGAAACAGTCTGTTTATCTCATGTGTTGGACATTGTGATTGACATATTTCGGGATTTAATTTTGTTGTTCCTTTGCAATAAAGTTTTTGTAACGCAAAAGAATGCAGTTTGATAATTCTGTTGCTACATGCTTTGAATACTAAAATATGCAACTTAACACACTAAATAATAAGCTTTTTGCTAACATCTTTTCTAAGTGGTAAATTGATGATTAAATTATTTATTCTTATTTGCCTTTTTTCTTGATTTTTTTCCTTTTTGAAATTACAAGATTAGCCTTAGCTTCTGAAAGCTTCTTCATAAGCTCCTCCTCCATGTGGTTTTTAAATTCTTCATTTGATTGACATTCATATTCAATTACAGGTACATGCTCAAAAGTGTCTTTGTATTTGATGATGTAACACATTCTATTCAGATAGATAAGATAGTTCATAATTTCTTCTTCAAAGTTGGATCCCATGTATCTTGTACTACACCACATTTCATCCATTTTCATCCAAGAACCACATTACAAATTTAGTATTGTCTAAATATAATAATAAAGGAAAAATTGTATGGATTCTGAAAAGCTTAGCAAAAGATTGACACTCAGATACCACATGTCCTCTTCTGTAAGTCACAAAGTTGTCCTTCAATTGATCAAAAATTGACATGGCACATTCTGCAATTTTTTTATTGCAAGAGTCTGAAACTAGTGTTTTGGGCCTCACTTGACTTGTGTCCATGTGTTCATTTCCGAACCATTGCCATGATCCCAATGCTCTTCCCTTATTATTATCCCTTGGCATAACTCTCTGATTCTAATTTTGAGGGAGAATATGTAGAGGAAAATTGCTTATCTGTCGAGATATGTAATATGATCATATGTTTTCTGGGTTGGGGTTTTCCCACAATCAATGCTCTGAATGACACCACGATTATTTTTTTGTGATTGGTTTTGATTTCCAAGAAACATTCATTGTTCATGTAATGTTGATCTGTAGGTTGCAAGATGTTTATCCAACTTATGATATGATTCAATGTCTGTGTAAATCATTGTGGGGTTTATTACTTTTTCTTCCTGTGTTTTATTTTCTTTTTGCCTATTCTTAGACAAAAACACTTCATATATATACAGGTAAGCTAGAGTGTCCCACACTGTCTTTATCATTAATCATCATGGATCTGAGCGTTTTGATCATTGGAACTGGGTGTTGATGGTGATAGATGGTGCTGTTGTTTTTGATGAAGAGTATAAATGTCAATGGAGTAACTTTTTTATAAGTAATAAACCCTCTGAGAAGTACCAGTAAGGAAGGGAAAATATGTAAAGATCTTGCTCTCCACATTTCTGCACCATTATGTTGATTTGTCTCCAAATCTAAAAGAAAAGTATTTATAAAGAAGTCTTTTTATTCATAATTAGTAAACAAAAAAGAATTGACTTACCTCAGCTGTCCATTCTGTTTCAGATGAGGATACATTAAAAGTGGGGAAGGCAGAGTTACTCATATTGCACATTCACAAAAATATTGAGTATAGTTGAAGAAGCAATGATTATTTTAATGATCAACTAGTGTATAGCCCGTCACTTCTTGACAGTGTGGGTGGTTATTTTATATTTTACAGTGGGGATACTTTTATTTCGCTAACGTTATCCATAATCATAATAATAAAAGTGTTAGGGCGTCGCAGTTGTAAACAAAGAAATGATGAACATGTGATGGTCATCTATTGGATAATTTTGTAATACGAATATGCAATGTTAATGTCCGCCCACCTTGCAGCATCCAATTTTTTTAAATTATATATAAATAGCTTATATTAGTCTTTCTGATTAGCTGGTTTATCTGGTGATTTAATGGATCTGATGACAGATCTAATTAATTGAAAAAGACAAAGAAAAAGAAAGAGAGGGAGTATTCATTAACACATAAACCACTTACGTCACAATTCTCTCATACTGTATACTCGGAAATTGAATTTTTTTTGTACGTAAACAAGAAACGTGATATTGATCACAAACGCGTCTTGTTCAATTGCCTACCGTTAAAATTTTAATTTATCAATAAAAGGAAATGTAATCTTACACATAATAAAGCACATACACAGTAAAGCTCGATAAGTCGGACAAAACTTTTCGGCCTTATTTTTCAAATTAAAATTTTCCGACAATCTCTCCAGCCAGATACACAGTCACGCTCGATAAGATAAGGCTGTCGGGCTGGACCAAAATATCCATATTATCGAACGTTTATTATAACAAAAAATCTCATTATAACGAAAGTCATGTTTGATTATCATTATATCGAGCAAAAAATTTTTTATTATCAGTATTCAAATAAATTATGCTATCTTAGAAAATCTAAGGTGCCTTGTCGCTCAGCATTAAATAAATGTAAAGTATTTTTTTTATATTGACAGAGTTTTAAATTCTTCACTTTGTGATGACAAACTCTTGATTCTGCTGTCCAATATAATTAGTAATTGCGTCTACTCCATGAAATGCTTCGTACTTTTGACAATAAGAGTCTGTTCTTCAGGCTCATCGGGTTTGTCGGGTTCGAGTAACCCGCTTTATTGCAGGCATTTTACTAAATATACTTTTATTGTTGCGAACGAGTTAAGAGAACAAAATTTATGACAAAAGCATCGAAATTTTGATTATTTAATTGTACAATTTAATATAATGCCTGCTCGATAAAATAATTACCAGTGATAGTGATGATTTGTGCACTTTGTTATATCGAAGGTCGTTTTACTAACGCTAAGTTTGAATCGCACAAAAACATTGTTATAATGTTATATCGCAAGATTATAAGTATCTTTATTATATCGGGCCCGATTTTATTATAACAGACTTGTTTCGGAAAATAACAAATTCATTGGGTTGAAGAGAATCAACGGTGTATATATTGAGAATTTGTTGGGACTTTTTCTTTTGCGTGGAAAGTGTTACGATAGAACAACAGGAGTATCTTGCAAGGAAGAATGGAAGTGGCGAAACTTCCTTTACTAGCGTGTAACGCAAAGGTTTTCGCATAACTGAACAGATTGTATCGAATGATGCAAATGACATTGTAGTGGGTTGGAGAAGAGGCATACTAATACCTTTTTCTTGCGGGTAATAAGATTAAAATCAGTATAAATATATTGTGTAAACGATCATGTGATGCATGGCTGCATGGCGATCTAGACCAAATCAAGTAAATCCCTGATCGTACTACCCTTTTTCGTGTAACACACGATACGTCTATTATCAACTGCATGCAGATGCATGTTAGTGTTTAATTATTGCTTCTACTACTACTGAAATCTATTTATATATCAGTATCTGCGATATTGCTGACAATTCCCTGCTACGAGTATTATGCTTCCGTAAAGTAAACATTTCTCTGTCCGGCAATCTCGACCAATGATTGTGATTGATAATGTTGACGTTATTATTATCTATACAGTTGACATGTCACATTGTTAAACAAAATTTTGGTTCAGCCCTTTTTGTTAGGAAAGCATATGAGGGCCTTTGGGATATTCCCAGTCTAGCTGCCAAAATTGCAAGCGATTCTCGCACACAAGGTATTGTTTGCAATAAATTCTAATTCTGTTTCATACGCGTTAAAGTACTCAAAATCGTATTGTCCGTTGAAAGAGCAAAATTCGGATAAACGGTCAAAGTCGGGTGGAAAGAAGTTTGACTCTCGTCCTCCTCCCCACAATAAAGATGCAACGACTCCAGCAGATGTGTACAAGTTACAAGACGTTGTTCCTGATTTGGATAATGTCGCCGTTGTCCCCTTGTTCAAGTGAAGCGCGCATGGATTTAATCCCGATTGCGTAAGTTACAAAGACATGAAGGAAACTGATCTGTTCTCAATGGGGGGGGGGAGAATTCAAGCTAACGCTATGATTGTCTCTCTAGTTTACCTTACATGAAATCTCATCTATCCTCTGCCATTGCTGCGAACGATGTTCAGAAAATAAAAATTATACTTTATTTGGCATACTTGATCGCATTCTACAGAATGGGAGAAGAGGGGCAGATCGGGTCTAGGAATTTTGTGGAAAAGAAACTCAAGACTGCTAGCAAGTCGTTAATAGCCAGTCTGTATAATAATTTTAGTGAGACGCCTGCCGGCGTGCGAACAAGGTATTAGAATTGATCAGCTTCTACGATTCGTTTATCGTTAGCGCAGCGCAAAATTAACATGTCTGAATTATATAGAGCAATGTTTACAAAACGAGCCAGCAGCAAGTTGTTGTCGTATATATGTGTCGTTTGCCTAATCATTGACGATTTCAAGGTTGAATTCGGACAGCTTGTTACTGACCTTCAGCTGCAAAAAATTAAGTATGTGATTTACTTTGTCAATTGGGGGGTCGACACATGCATTCTAATTATGAAAGTTGTTGATCTAATTGTACTGCGTTTCATAGACTTACTAGATTCTTTAAGAACGTCGGATGCACAATAGAAGCTCTCACAAAAGCCGAACGAGAAATGTTGGGCGTCAGTTACCGATATGCAGCAGAACACAAATTCGCTATACTTCGGATACCATTTACTATTCCTGAGCCCACGCAAAAAAGAATGAGCAAGAAGACGAATGCGTGATGTAAAAGAATTATCTTATAAACTACAAGCTAGGAACAGACAATTGAGGCGATAGAGTCAAACGATGAGAATAGACATTTAATTAAAATCCGTGTTGCTTAAGTTATAGTTCACGTTCACTGATCATCGAAAGTGCGGTTTTTTAATTTCTTTTTTGTGCGTACGACGTCAAACTTGATTAATTTTTGCGAAAATTTAGACGAGCAAGACGGCATTGATACATCCATCGTTTTCGGGATTATTTGTGACTAGGAAAGAATGTTGCAGTTTTTGTTAGACACTATAGTTACGACATTGCCCAAACTTTTCGACCTTCAAACTACCAGACTCTGAATAAACCCCTTTGCACACTACTTACTTTGAGCGTATTTCCCCCACACCACTTTTCCTGACGTAGTAACAAGCCCGAGTTCAGAGACATTGACCTCTATCACCGTTCCCCTAGTTAAAACGCCTAATGACGTATACAAAGGACTCTGTGGATTCTTCTTTACGGAGATTATCGGTAGACAAAACGTGGCCTTGAGCTCGGGATGTGTGACGTTTGCCTTTTTGTATCTCAGCGCCATTGGCCTTATGAATCGCTCGTATTTCGGAGGTTTACGCGTAAATCCCTCTCCGACGAATGTAGGTTTAGTGATCATTCGTTTCCATTGTTTTGCTGCAACGAATACGAGAAAGAATTATTTAGACCAACGCAGACGTTCGACAATGAATTTGGATTGTGACCCAACTCTCGGTACTCACTTTTGTGTTTGCCAGTCTTTATTACTTTAAACATTTCGTCTTCTGTAATACCCCGCACTTTTGGTAGAGGAACGGTCCATTTTCCAGCTTTCTCCTTTCTCTTTTGTTTAATCATGTTGGACAATATCTTTGCTCTCTGCTGACCTTCACGATCAAGTAGATATGTTGGAACAGCTCCTTCAGGGACGGCCTCTGCGTCCTTCTTTGTAGCTTGCTTTTCTTCATGTTGTTTGATTCTAACAAGTGGACCAAACGCGTTATGCGTAAATTATAAGCCAAGTTAACGAAGAGAGTTAAATTTAAGAATCTTACGTCTTTTTCATTTGTATCTTTTCTGCATGACGCTTCTTGTTGTATAATTTAGCACGAAGCCCATGTACAGTCTTGGCAAATGTGGCAGCACTGTGTGCTTCACGGGCAGCCCGCTTTCGTCTACAAGGGACGCAAGTTAAAATCCATAATAAAATTTCTATCGTACGAAACTCGATCGCTGCGAATCTTTGTAAACGGAGTACTTACTTCCGTTCTTCATAGTCTAATCGACGCCCATGTCGCCTGATCGATTCTTCAATATACTCATTCTGTGGCTATTTTGTAGAATTACAGTAATGAGCGTATGGTTAGTTTCTGGTCAAAGCCTCAAAACCACTATAGGAGGCATGCATGCATGAGTTGCTCTTACCATTATAAAGTGTTAGTATGATATGAACTTCGTCCAAAAAATTTCACGTATAAGCTGAAACGGAACAATTTCATTGGTTGACATACAACGGGAAATTTTTAATGTGACGCCAGGATTCGCCCATAATAATAAGTATGAAAAATTTCGATAACAAGTTGATTTAATATAAAATTTCTGGTTAGCCTGTCTTTGTTTGATATAATAATTTATCTTTGTATAATGTTAATATCAGTTTACAAAGTTCAAAGAGATTTAATAGTAAATCCAGTTTACTGAGGTAATTTTAATAGACTAAAGCATAAACTCAGAAAGGTTCATTCTATAACGGGTTTTCAGATTAACAGGTTTTGGTTTATTTGGGTGACCTCATAAGTAATATTGAGTTCCTACAACAATTTTTGGAAAATTTTGAGATCGTAATAAAGGTTCAGTAGTCACACTAAAGTCATGTAGTTAGTCGTATATTCAGGCAGTGAACAGCGAATAAAATCAAAATAATGAAAAAAATGTAACATTACAAACCGCATGTCCTTTATTGAGCAAACTAAGATGGACCTCTATAGATCTGCTATAGACCATACTGAATGCATAATCAATAAAATTCCGTCATACTATGAAGTTAATGTGATTAATAATTTACGTAACAATAATTTGTATTGTATCTGTTCTTTTTTTGAAATGAAGCCGTAAAAACCCGACATGTCTAAATAAGCACTGCATTCGGTAGATATGTCTATCATTCCTCAACGTAAAATTCTTATCGCTCCTGTCTTCGCACTATCGAACAATACAAGTCTAGAAACAACCGCATCAGAGGTAAGAATTTTATAACTCTTAGGTAGAGACTGCCTTTTTCTTTAATATTAAAACGTAGCGTATCTTAACGGTTAAGCGAACGATTAATACATTTGAAAGGAAATTTCAGAGTAATATAAAAGTTGGTGCGCAGGTACAGTACAAATTTCAGGGTATCGCTTTGTTGAGTTTGAAAGCTTCGAATGAGTTTAGGTGTGATCTCAGTTGCATTTAGGAGAACACAGACTTCATGACGTCAAGTGTAACATTAATCATAACTTTGGTCATGAAATTATGACTGAAATAACGGAATTAAATGGTGATCTTTTGGCTTTTAGTGGTGCAACAGTGATTTGTCACATGAAATGTTATTGGTCACACTCCGAAGGCTTAAGTGAGTGCGAGTAATTGCGATAGCAGCAACAAATATGGCCTCAGTTTGGTCTAACAAGACATGGTTAACGAAAAGTATGAAGATGAAAGCATTCAGTTTTATCCTTCCGATGACTTTAGCTTTAGTGACCACTCATACATCGGTCTCGGAACATATGGGGCCGTTTACAAAGCCAAAATGAAGTCACTTGATAGAATGGTGGCATACAAGCTTCTTCTTTTACAAAATGAGGATATAATGTTCGAAAACTTTGTCAAAGAGGTTATTGTTCATGATGACGATTTGAATTTGGATATTATGTTGCTTGAATTACATAACCATAATTATACTTTAGCTTAAGATTCATCGCAAGGTCGGTGACCATCTCAACATAATTCGATTCCTTGGTGTGAGTCAGGGTAAGCGTTCAGCTGTTTTAGGTTATCTTCGTAACCTGATATAATGCTAAAGTCCTTCGTCATAGATTCGGGAAACAAATACGTTATGGTTTTCGAATATGCGGATGGCGGTTCATTGAGACGAGACGTTATTTATCGGACACCACTGTTGAATTGGACTGGCTTATGAGATGCATGCTTGGTATTAATATCATCGATGGACTACGGTACCTTCATGAACTTGATATTTTACATAAAGATTTGGTAATTATCAAAACAATAATTTTATTGGTTTGATATTGATTCGCCAATTAATTCCTTTGTTATTAGTCTTCACAAAAGGTTCTGATTCATGCCGGCGTGGCGAAGATAACAGACTTTGGCTTGTCGGACCGAATTTTACATTTGAAGCGTCACTCAAACATTCAAGGAACTCTTCCATATCTCGACCCCAGATGCTTATATGACACTTCCACTAGGCAGGATAAAAAGTCAGATATATTTAGTTTTGGTGTGGTTTTATGGGAAATCTCTGGTGGGAGAGACCATGTGACGGATGACAGAACTATGATGAAATTGTAGTCTACCGGTCCAATGGTAGTCGTGATGCTCCAGTTGCGGGAACCCCTGAAGAATATATCACATTATATGCATCTTGTTGGGATAACCTGCCTGAAAAAGACCATCATGTGAGCAGATTTTTGATAGACTCTATATGATATCTCAACTTGTAATGCCTTCAGAACATCCATTTTTTGATGTGGTGTCAAGTAAATACCAGGAAGAATTACTAAAAGGAAAAAGTCAAGACCAGATTGCTGACTCAATCAAAGACTGGTTAACATATAACAGTCAACAGCATTATATTAAAAGACTCAAAGGCCATATTGACTGTGGGCATTGTTTTTGGTTAATTGGATTTTTCTATGCATATGGAATATCAGTTGAAAAGGATCTTCATCATGCAGCTTACTGGTATGAATTGTCAGCAGAAAGAAATAATGTGTTTGCACAAAATTGTCTTGGTCATTGCTATAAAGATGGAACTGGAGTACAAAAAGATGTCAAAAAGGCAGTTGAATGGTATCAAAAGCTGCTGAACAAGGATATGCTAGGGCACAAAATAATCTTGGTTGGTGTTATGAAAGTGGAACTGGAGTTGAAAGAGATGAACAAAGGGCAGTTAGATGGTATCAAAAAGCTGCTGAACAAGGATATGCTCAAGCACAATATAATCTTGGTGTGTGTTATAACAATGGGACTGGAATAGAAAAAGATGAACAAAATGGTATCAAAAAGCTGCTGAACAAGGATATGCTCAAGCACAATGTAATCTTGGTTATTATTATGAAAGTGGAACTAGAGTAGAACGAGATGAACAAAGGGCAGTTGAAGTGTATCAAAAAGCAGCTGAACAAGGAAATTCTCGTGCACAGTACAATCTTGGTTACTGCTATCAGCATGGAATTGGAGTAGAAAAAGATAAACAAAAGGCAGCTGAATGTTATCAAAAAGCTGCTGAACAAGATCATGCCCAAGCACAATATAATCTTGGTCATTGTTATGCCAATGGAATTGGAGTAGAAAAAAATAAACAAAAGGCAATACAATTGTATAAAACAGCTGCTGAGCAAGGAAATGCTCAAGCACAACATGATCTTGGCTATTGTTATGCCAATGGAATTGGAGTAGAAACAGATAGCACAAAGACAGTTGAGTGGTATCAAAAAGCTGCTGAGCAAGGAAATGCTAGTGCTCATTACAATCTTGGTCAATGTTATACAGTGACTTGCTCAATGTTTGAAAGAATTGAATGTGCAGGCTTATAACTCCACAAATATCCAACCAATTTACATGAAATTTAAACTGAATATAGTCTTGCATTCTGGCTTCTAATTCACTTTTGTTTTATTTGAAAA